TTTGTTGTTGTTGTTTGTCTGGTTTGTTGGAATCGCAATTGTCCAAGACAGTTTCGCCTGAAAGTAAGCGTTTAACAGTTTTGTTGTATGTTTCATTTTACCTTACTTAAGTATTTAGTATTAAATAAAATGTATTTTCGATGATAATGTCAAAGTAACAATTAAAATGAAACTATGTATACATATGTATATTACATACATATAATTGTATAATTCGTATATGGTATTTGTGCTTTATACTCATATATATCATGGATATGAGAAACGATAATCGATACTTATAGATCATGCAGGCTGAAAATTAATAAAAACGAGGGCGCCATTAGAATTAAATATATATCTTTTGGAGTTAGACTCAACATTCCAAATATACGTGTATGAATTTCACAAGTTTGGTACTTTTACATAGTTCATAAGATATTGAATTTTTAGTTGCCCAAAGTTGGGCGAAGTAAGTAATGCTAGTGATCGGGGCAGTGTATCGCATCTCAGATCAATGAATATGATGGAAAAATTCTTTGAAATTGCTTCCGCTTTCACAGCATTATCTAGAGTGTGGACCTCTGCGCCAGCCACTTTTTATTCTTAATGGCCTAGTTTGAAGCAAAATATATTTTTCTACTGCCTAAGATAGAAAATGGTGGCAAGATGGACACGACCTTTTCTAAAGGCACAAAATCTTCAAACAAACAGACTTCAAGGGGTTTTTTTTGGAAGACGTGAATCTAAAATAGGCAGTAGTTCTCATATGACGCAATTAGCAATACTAGCGACTGCTGATTTTGATGTTATTTTAGCTCATAAATTGTTGACGATAGAGTCATACGCAAACTGAATTGTTGAAATCAAAGAAAACCAGAAAGAGGTTAACTTCGGTTGCACCCATGTTAGAATAACATGCAGAATTCAAAAAATTTCCTTACAAGAATTTGATGTTGCTCGGTCGGTTTATATGGCTGCTATATGCTATAGTGGACGTTCTGGCCCAATTTCGGGTATTATACCGTTGACTTGGACAATAAGTCAAGCGAATTTCCGTGAAGATATTTTGTGAAATCAAAAAGTTTTTAATACACGGACTCGATTTTGATCGTCCAGTCTGTATAGTAGCTATATGCTCTAGTGGTCCGATATCGGCAGTTCTGAAAAACGAGTAGCTTCTTGGAAAGAAAGGGACGTATGCAAAATTCAGATTGATATCTCAAAAACTGAGAGACAAGTTCGCGTACTTACAGACGGACAGACAGACGGATATGGCTAAATCGACTCCGCTCGTCATGCTAATTATTTCTATATAAACTTTATACTTAAACTTCTATATAATCTTTAAACTGTTCAGGGTATGAAAAGCATGGACAACAATGATAATGGGAAATGCAATTTAGCAAACAAGTACGGGAATATAAATATTATACTCTCCCAATTTGCAAGGGTCAAAGGCGGAAAGATTCTTTCATGTATTGCAAAAATTGTAACATACTTGTATATTATAAAATGGTGTGTTAGAATTCAATATTCAAATCAAGCAGAGAGAGGCAAATCCTTATATAAGGGACATACGATTTATGTTTAAGAAAGCATATCCACTTAATATCATTCAAATATCACACATATTGACCTATATAAACGGCGTAAAGTCAGACGGAAATCTCTATATTTGGTATGGGGCTAGAAGATGGGCTGAGCGGATAACATTTACTTTCGGCATTAAACAAAAGTTTGTTTAAAAAAAATTCCTAAGTTTTAATAAGATAACTCAAAATTCAGCACATATGTGAGGGAGAACCGAAATTTTTTTTTATTATTTGCTTAGCCTGAGGGTAAAATTTGTAGATTAAAAAAAGGAAAATCGCATCGCTCGATGGCTTTAAATCCCTTAAATAAATACCTGAGATCATAAGTAAAAAAAAAAACCTATCTACATAGTATGTATATGTACGATTACTCCCCAGACCTCAGTGCCTATAGTTGACCTTCCACCGAAAATATCAGTCAATCCACAAAGAAATCTCAAACGAGTGTACTATTTGACTTTGCGAGAGTATAAAATGTTCGGTTACATCCGAACTTAGCCCTTCCTTACTTGTTTTCCATTATATTCTTTGAAGGTCGTTAGTGACCTCCCTGGTAGTGATCATTTCCCATTGATGATAGAAATCGGATTTCCCCCAGATACGTCCCCCAAAAATTTAAACCAATTTTTCTATCAACTAAAGCCAATTGGGAGAAATGCAAAGATCTCTGCTCATCGATATCAAGTAAACTCGTTGAATAGGGAATTAGAAATCCTTCGATCGCAAAAACGCAAAAGCTGGTACAAATATAAAAAAACACGCAAGCTTCTTGATCTTATAACATATAAACGCGACAATGCTATCTTTAAACCACAAACCAAAGAGGCTATGAAAATATGTGTGGAAGAATTTACTGAAAATATTAACACCAAAACCTCTCCTGTCTGGCGTGAAAAAGACCTATTACACTCACGTACTTAAACACCCAATCTGGATTAACTAACGACCTGAATATCATAGCCAACGAGTTCGCCACGTTCTGGAGCTCCTATTCAAGTGACTCTTTTACCTAACAATATTCTTAGCAATTTAGCGCTAAATTTAGAAACTAATATTTCCACTGATAAGTTTGATGACTATCCAACTGCAGAGGTAAAACATCTGGTGTCAAAGGGATTACCTAAGACATGTTAAGACACATCCCACATGACGTTAAAAAAGTATAGTAAATTTTTACAATAAAATACTCTCAGTCGGTATATATCCCTAAAGTTGGAAAATCGCAGAAATCCTTTCAATGCCGAGAACTGGAAAATCTTCATCAGAACTTACAAGCTATAGGCCTATTTCGCTGCTTTCTTGTTTAGGAAAGGTTTTGGAGAAAATAATCTCCAAACGTTTATTGTTCATAAAGTTCTACAACAATTAGCAAAATAGAAATTGAGACCAAAAATATACAACCTACTTAAAATTTTTTTAATCAACCGAAAATTTTCACAATAATTTTTCTAACAGGGGCAAACACCTAGAAAATGCAGTTCCTCAAGGTTCCCCTTTGTCTGTGGTCATATTTATAATTGTTTTTAATAAAATCAACGAGCTACTATACAATTACCCAGCCTACTACTGTATGTATGGAGACCACATTCTGATATTTTTAAAACAACTCCAAAAAACATTGTTTATATATAAGAAAACAAATTTTCGAAATGTTAAATATAATAAAGTTTTTAGCTTCACGACATTCTTTTGTTCATCCTACAACACTCATCAAGATCTTTACTACTATCAGTTAACGATTATGGACTACCAATCTACAGACATCGCGCCGACAGCGAGCTAAAGAAACTCTTTGCGCCTTATCACATGGCAATAAGACGTAGTCTTCGGGGATTCTCAACTTCCAGCACCAAAAGCATTCTCGCTGAATCCGTAATGCCACACATTAACGAAAGACTGGAGATTAACACATTGCGGCTGATACCAAAGGTATATCTAGGCTCTAACCCGGATTTGCTCAAGTTCCCATCAACAATACACCTAATTCTAAAGTACATTGATAAACTTGATATTCATCTTCCACCCTAACGTTGGAAGATTAGCAAGCATCCACCATGGACTCTAGACTCTTCTGTTTTAGAAGACGAAAGCCTCCACGAACTATGAGGTATATAAAAAAATGTTATGCAACGCAAGACAGATCTCAATTCAAAAGGATGGAAATTCATTTACACTGATTTGTTAAATAATCTCCACAACACCGCATATGCAGTGGTTTCCAAAAACTCGGAAATTATTAAAAATGGATCACTTTTATCACCATCTTCTGTTTCTACCGCAGAAGTATACGCGATCGAAGAAGCTCTCTAATGGGTCACTTCCAAAGGTAAATAAGTTATCTTCCCTGACACCCTTGCAGCAGTCACAGCCATGAGAAATTCATCCAACAGCAGTTCTCTAATCAGAGAAATGGACAAATTAATTGATAGCCGAAAAAATATTAAAGTAATGTGGCTTACAGGACACCGTGGCATTCCAGGCATCGACCTCGCTTCCCTTAACCCATGTTTTTACATGAGAACTAATTAAAGCAATGACATTGTGCGATTCGTTAAAAATTTCTCAAAGATTAAAGTGAAATCAGCGTGGTATTCCTATGACAACCGCTACCGGCACGTACATCCCGAAGAAAGAAAAGTAGTATACCCCTCCACATGCAGCATCCCGGAGATCAAAATTTTCACACGATTCCGTTTAGAACACATCATCATAACTCACCCACATATCAATTAATATTATTTTGTGGGCGTGGCAGTGGTCCGATTACGCCCATCTGCAATACCAACGGTCTTACGGTACCAAGAAACATGTGTACCATGTTTCATAAAGATATCGCAATTTTTACTCAAGTTACAGCTTGCACAGACTGACGGACAGACGGACGGAGTCTCTTCATCCTGATCATTTATATATACATAACTTTATATCTAACTCGTTAGTTTGAGGTGATACAAACAACCGTTAGATGAACAAAACTAGTATACTCTGTAGAAACATGTTGCCAGAGTATAGAAGATATGCAGGTTAGTAGAACATAAAATATAATTAAGACTTCAAATTTAAATTTAATTGAACTTGGAGATAATGTGGATAATAATTCAGTTCCTTTACGAAGTTCCTTCAAATGTGCATTGGTTGAAACGAAGAAATTCAGTTCGATACCGAGTCTATATTGCATACAAAGATTAGTTGAGTAGAGATTTTGCATGTGGTGCAACATTTCTGTTTTAGAAGTTTTTCAATATCCCAAGCAAAAGCGTCAGGAACTAACTTTAGATCGATTGATGTCAAAAAAAAGTTTTCTAAATATTTGAGCTCTATTCCACATTTGTAATTATTTAAACAATAAGTTCGAAAATTCCACGTGGCTTACGGCAAAATATTTAAGAACACCCATATTTTTTCAAGACTTAAAGAAAGTTAACATGTAATGATTATTATTAACAAATTTATTTACAATATATATTTTATAAGCTTAAGTATAAAAATGTTCACAAAAGTTGAAGTTTTGTTTTTTCAATTAAAAAAATATACAAACAATAATTAATTCGTATAACCTATTAAATATAAATATTAAAGTGTATGATTTTGTCGCTATACAATTTATCGCTCTTACTAAAACAAACAAACTTATGTAATTTACAGTAGTTATTGGCTGTGAATTATGTTTTACTTATACTAGATTCACTTGTGAAATCATAAAACCTGCTTAATTAACGTTGACGAATTGCAGCTTTCATATAGTCACGTGCAACGCTCTGACCTGAGCTTTCACATACACGTATATATGTATGTGTGTATGTATTGCAAAACTTTTAGTCTCAAGTTTGACTGTTACGCAATACACATTTGCAACAGCTGGGCATTTTCACTTGTTCCTCCCGCAGTTTGCCGTCGACAGATACAACCATGGTTCTATAGATGTAATTCTGTTTACAACGCGATGTGTAAAATTTCGGCAGTAATTCCTGAAATCGGCAGGGCTTCTCCTCATTGCTAAAGTTGAACAAAATAGTTACGATCAGTTATGTCAAGAGTTTGCGTTTTGTGAGCTTACTCGCATTGTTCCACTAAAATACCCTGCTTGTGGTTCTCGTGTTGCACGACCAACAGCCATTTTGATTCCTTCGTTTCAGCGGATTTCGGATATATTAAATGCGAGGTGCTGGAGCAATAGTACTCATCCTGCGGCCCCGAGTTCATACGTTGCGTTATGTCTGGCGGTGGCACGACATCGTCTTTGAAATATGATTTGAATTTATCAAAATTGTCCTCATCAATTGTATCCAACCGTGAAGACTCCAAATAATTTGGCACGTCCAAACAATAGGGTTTCCCCTTCAGTCGTTCACTGCAGATATACCCATCTGTAAGCAATTTCCCATTCATTATAAAACATTGATCTCTTCAAAAAATATGAAAGAATAATAAAACTAATTGCTAATTACCATCAGAAAATATAATCGCATCATTATTGCGATTGTTGTGATGTGTATTTTGGTCATTATTGTAGTTGATGTTCGTGAGTGTACCTGCAGTTGTCGTCTGGAAAATGAGAAAATCGTTAAAAATCACGTTCAGTTTGCCGTCGGGTGATCTTTGCACTTTAAACATAACATCTTTTTGTGCCGATTGCGATGTTTCCTATATTAATATATTGAAAACGAGAAACAAACAGAAACCGAAAGGAAGTGGTAAGATAGTAAATGTAAGTAAGAGATAGATTTATACTAGTCCATAGGAGAAAAGCAAGTGAAAAAGCAAGTGAAGAAGTGCTTGTTAGAGAAGCAAATTGCATGTGTCTTAAAGCATTAATTTGAGGGACTTACGTTGAAAAGTACAAGTCCCGAATCACTACCAAATTTGAAAATTCGATCCAAGTTCGCTTCAAAATCATTTGATACCTGTAGATTTTTACAAATTTGAAAGTATTTCGATTAAGAAATTCAAAAGTTATGCTGATTTGATTCTTTATCTAACCTTCGTATCTTCATTGGGCGAGCGTTTTTGTCGAATTGTGCTATAATCGTAAGTATAGCCAGCAATGGGGCTAACTATCTGAAAGAGGTAGACATGTGCGTCGGTTAGAAAACACTGAATAATTATCTTTAAAGTTGTAACTATTAATATACCAATTAATAAAGAATGCATACAAAGACAAAATGTTTTTGTTTTTAATTTTTTAACTTTTAACTTTTGTAAATTATCTACAACAATTTAAGTAGCCCATGTATCCCAATGATCGAGACTCCAACACCAAATCAAGCCTATGAAGACCAAAGCATCGAAACTATTGTATTTCCTATACATTTTATGTTTTTAGATTGTTTCCAAAGTGTTTATATAAAAGTTCAGAAAACAACAAAAAATCTTAATTGTTGTTGGCCTGTTTATTCGATCTACTTGTAGAATTAACTATACATTTAATGATAAAAATGACAGTTGACCTTAGAAAATCAAATACTTGTTAGATTCTGTGTAATAAATGTGCGACCGACCGAAAATTGAACTGCTTTCGATATAATCGATATTTCTGAATATAATATACTTAAACGTAGGTAATATAGTATACAATCTATTGCAGATTCGATGAAAAGTTTGAATTTCAGCATTAATATAAGAAATGATAAAATTTTCAAAAAATTAGTAATAAATATCTACATAAGGCGATCATTTGTGATTTCTCTTCCAAAAAAAAGTTACGATTCGGTTTCGGCTCAAATTTTTGACAGTAATTGTCTGAAACGTCACTATCCGATTGCGCCAACGTGCCATACTATCTTGTAGCAATCGGATAGTGAGGATATATAAAGTACAAGTACCCGAATCTCGTTACAAATTTAAGCAGTGTAGCGGGTAAGAGAAAAAATAATGCCCTTTAAAATAAGACTAATTAAGCAAGTAAAGTGACAGTCAAATACGCAAAACCTATAACTATTGATGAAAAATGATTTCAAGTATGCGGTTGAAAATGTCGATCTAAAGTACATACTTAAAAATACACCACACATACGTATGTATATAAATTATGCATTGTGTTCGAAACTTTTTTTATACTCTCGCAATCTTATCAATATCTTTATGGTACGATTGGTAGTGCAAATGGGCGTAATCGGACCACTGCCACGCCCAAAAAACGCCATTGATCAAAAACAAATAAATTGCCATAACTAAGCTTTGTAATAAGATACAAGGCTGTTATTTGGTACGCATATCTCCTAAACCGATAAAACTATAACAACAAAACAAATTTTTTTAGCACCTCTATCCACAATGTAAAAATGGGTGAAATCCACCTCCCACTTTTAGGTAAAAACCCATATCGTGGGATCTGCTTAACCGATTTCAACCGAATTCGATACATGCGCAAATGGGCGAAATCGGATTACAATCACGCCTATTACTCATATAACACCATTTCAAATTCCATCTGATTCTTTCATTGCCATCTTGTGATCAAAAATTGTCTGAATTGTACCAAAACTGTTCAAGCCCCTAGGCACTTAATATGTGGACCCCAATGCCCATAGTTGACTTTTTACCGAAAATATCGGTCAATGTGTAAGATATATAATTGAAGTTCATATAGTAAAATAAATAAATGAAACTCTCGATAATAGTTTATTTTTGTGTCAAAAATGGGTTAAATCGGATCAATACTTCCTTTAATATAAAATTTTGCCAACACCTGAAGCAATTTCCCGGGCTTTGATCCATGCAAGTTGCAAGAGTAAAAAATGTTCGGTTACACCCGAACTTAGAACGTCCTTACTTGTTTTTTTGTGAGTTTGTAAAATGATGAAAGCGCCAAACGTAGTGAAGAACTGAAAATAACTGATATAGCCAGTACCTTTACCTAGTAGTATACTAACATAATTAGTTGGCTAAATATTAGGAATATAGTGCGTTTTTGTGTCTTGCATAATACGCAGAGAAATTAATTCTTTGTTTAATACTTTAGTTTTATTAGTTTAAAATTGTGTGGCAATTAGTTTTGAATAGAATAGCTTCTGGGTACTACGTGTTATAAAGACCCTTCCGATTATTGCTACTTTTTACAGCACATATGTACAAGTATATATCAGAAAACACGCGCTGAAATTCCATTTTGAACTAATCAGTCGCAACTACTTTATCATTGCAACGGACTTCAGAGCAAGATCGAGGAGATAGTTGCATTCATGAGCCGGGAGCGCGTATCAATAGCTACGGTCCAAGAAACCAAGTTAAACAGCCGCTCAGATCTTTTGAGTTGTGCAGGTTTCAACGTTTTACGTTACGCTTGAATGTCAGGGTATAGCTGCCCGGTCAGGCCATGTCGAGCTCGAGATATTTATGTTGCCCAACGGGATATCACCTGAACATAGGTGCGCTACTTCGTGGTGAAAACCGTCTGGTGCTAGGCGACTTTTACGCGCACGACATTCCTGCCTGTCAAACGATCGTAGGGGGATGGAGCTGGCGGAACAGATTGACGATTCGACATTCTGCACAATGAATGACAAAACACCCACCAGAATTATGCGCACCTTTAATAGCTCGCCAGATATTACCATCGCTAGCGGTGGTCTGATTAATAGTATAACCTGGCGACCTATGCTAACTCTCGCATCAGACCATCTGCCCATAATTATCTCGATCGAGAAACCTACCGACTTTATTTCTGTGGACAACCGCACTTTTGTTAACTTTAACAAAGCTAACTGGGTCGGCTTCACAGAATTTACCGAGAGCACCTTCAACGCACTACCCATTCCTACGGACGTCATCTATGGAGAGCGTCAATTCCGCAAGGTGATCGCTGCTGCTACTGCTCGCATCATACCGGCTGGAAGAATCGCGGAACTCCGCCCTAATTTCCCAGCCAAAGCAGCTGTACTAGCAAACGAGCGCGACACCTTACTCCATGCCGATCCCTGTGATCCGCGAATAAGGGATCTCAATTTGGAGATTCAGCAAATGGTAAACCATCATAAGCGAACAAAATGGATAGAGCACCTGAAGTCCTGCAACCTCTCCACCGGTGTAAGTAAGCTGTCAAATCCGAGGAAACATGACGATCGGGTTGAAATTCAATTTGATGGCCATGCCTCCTCGGACCCGAAGAAGTGCGCGAGCTATTTTAGCCGGCAGTTTACACTGCACCCTTCGACTGACAAGACCAACCGATGTGCTATCTGACGGCTGCGCAAAATGCCAAAAGACTGCGCACCACTTACTTTCACCGATGGGGAGGTTCAGAGTGCCATCACAAAGGCCAAATCGTCCAAATCCATTGGCCCAGACGGAATAAGCATGCTGATGCTACAACATCTAGGCTCGACGAGAGTAAGCTACCTCACCAAGCTCCTCAACTTTTCGATGGCCACTCTTCAAATACCCGATGTTTGGAAAGTCGGAAGAGTGGTGTGAAAGAGTCCCACTACTAAAGCCTGGAAAACCCGCCAACAAAGGGGAGACTTATTGTCTGATAATTCTCCTTTCTCTATTAGTGAAGACACTTGAGGCCTTGTTACTCCCGACGTTCACACACCACCTTAGTCTAGCAGAACATCAGCATGGCTTTCTCAAAGTGCACAGCACCATCACAGTAATTAGCGTCATAAACGCCCGGATAGTTCATGGCCTAAACTAGAAGCCACCCTTCGAGAGGACGATCTTCGTAGCGTTGGACTTGTCGAAAGCCTTCGACACAGTCAATCACACAACGCTACTTGAGGACATCGAACAAGCTACGCTCCCTCCAGGGCTGAAGCGGGGGACCATGAACTACCTGAGCGGTCGGCATTCATCCGTACTGTTTCGAGGAGAAAACTCCAAACTGAGAAGAATTAAACAGGGGGTTCCGCAGGGTGGTGTCCTCTTCCCTTTACTGTTTAACTTCTACATCTCGAAACTCCCCCAACCACCAGAGGGAATTTCCGTGATCTCGTACGCTGATGACTGCACGATATTGACGTCGGGCAATAGAATCATTGGCATATGCTTAAAAGTAAACAGCTATCTCTCCGATTTTTCTCGCTTCTTCTCTGCAAAGAGTCTGACACTCTCCCCCACTAAATCCACAGCGAACATATTTACGAAAAGGACGAAGGAGTACAGACTGGATCTAAACATTTCAGTCGATGGTACTGAAATTCCGACCGTAAATAACCCTAAAATTTTAGGCGTTACACTAGACAGTCTTTGCACCTTCACTGCTCACACGACCGCAATAACTTCCAAAGTACAGAGCCGCAACAAAATCCTCAAATCGCTTGCCGGCAGCTCTTGAGGAAAAGACAAAGAAACGTTGCTGGCGACATACAAGGCAATCGGCCGGCCGGTCCTAAACTATGCAGCCACAATATGGTCGCCTGGATGTAGTGTTCCGCAGACGAAGAAGCTCCAGACCTGTCAGAACACTGCACTCCGGACTATCACGGGATGCCTCTTGATGTCCCCAATCAAACACTTACACAGTGAGGCCCGTATGCTTCCGGTTAAGGAACATAACGAGCTCCTCTCCAAGCAGTTTCTGCTGGGTTGCTTTCGTAGAAACCATCCTTGTAGTTGTCTGCTTGAAGCGCAGCCGCCTCATAGGAACATCAAGAGGTCTTTCCTTGATTACGTCGACGCATTAGACGGTACGCCGACCGGACTTCGGACGCAACGAACTTCAGACAGGCTCTGACCGCCATTCACAGTGGAGCCATCAACACCCTCCCCGATTCCCTCTCAGTGAATGGCGTACTACGAGTCAAACCACCACCCATAGCAGACGTAGAGCTCGAGTTGCCTCGCGAAACCTGAGTGACCCTCGCGCAACTTCGTTCTGGATATTGTAGCAGGTTAAACTCCTACTTATCCAGAATAGACTCCGACATACCAAACACATGTCACCACCTCTTTACATGCCCAACGAACCGCACTCATCTTTCACCCTTTTCCCTATGGTCCAACCCCATCGAAACAGCCTCCTGGGCTTCCCGTGAGATGACCCCGACGACAACCAATCTAGAATTTATCACCCAAACGTGGATTAGGTAACCGTTACAACAACAACTTTTTCAGCTATT